TGGAATTTTACTATATGTTGTGTACAGTTTGAATCCTCGATTTTTTGAATTTAGTTAAAGGAATAAAAAAATTTTACTCGAAAAATATTGCGAATATTAAAAAATATCACTTTTTTGAGTCACTGTATTTGTCTATAATAACTCGACTTGAAGTTTTTCAAAACGCGAAGTTTCATTGTTGCCTTTAGTTTCATCACTTCCGCTTCTGGTTGAAGGAAATTGAGAATATGCCAATAATATGACTCAAATACCGTATAACTAGTTAAATAAAAAGTTCTTAAAAGCAGTTTTAATTCTTATTGAAAAAACTAAAAAAAAATATAAAAAAATTTATAGTTTTAATTAAAATAAATAAAAAAATAACAAAACTATAGTTTTTATTAAAATAATTATAAAAAAGTTATTGGTAGATATTTCCCAGGTTTGGTAGATTTTTTTCAAGTGGATGGTAAACATTTTTTTTCGTCAGTGGCAACCCTGCGCGCTTACCTAACTGAGTGAAACGGATCTGTATTTAATGTATCAAATCATTTTTTTTTACGTATAACATAAATATAGTCATTAAATAGTTTAAACATTGTGTTTCAATTTCGGTTCAACATTTACGAACCTCAAGTACTATGACAGCCTTCGTGCTGATAACGAGAAGGCGTCACAATTATACATGGTGGCCCATGAGGGGAACAATTTTATAAACCCCAAATTGAAATTACATAGCAGACATATACACAAGTTACATAGTTGTTGAATTAATCTGATCGCATAATTTTTCAGTACACATATGTGCATCGCCAATAGTGTACATAAGCTTGCGTACATATGTACGTACACCCAACTCGACAGTACATGTACATAAGGGTCCGTTAGATATTTGCAGCGCTAAACTAGCAAGTAAACAAGCCGGCTCAACGAAATTGACGAAAAGAAGGATTAGCGGAGACTGCAACACAGTTAGAATTTGCGAGAAGAAAGAAAAAAATTGTCGAAGCGGTCATGGCACCAGAAATAAGCAAAATGTCATTCGATGACTTAGTAAAATTGCAGTGCGACCGCCACGAGACATTGAAACGAGTTCTTCAAAACTTTAGAAAGGACGCGCAATCCCGTAAAACGTCAATTTATTTTCAAAAACGTTTACAACAGATCGATTCGATCTCAAAGGAGTTTGCTGAGACTCATAAGATCATAATCTGTGCAGAAGGTTATTCGGAGTCGTCATATTACACCAATAATGTGACATCAGAGTTTGAGGAGCGTTATATGGATGTTTACTGTGCCATAGCCGAAGCCTTCGAACAAACTCACCCAAAGACCACCGGCGTATCAACGACACCTATAGATGCGTCTGCTCTCGCTGCAAAGGGACAAGTTCAAATGCCGCAAATTCCAGTTCCTTCGTTTTCTGGCCAATGCATCGACTGGCCGGGTTTCTATGACGCATTCACTCGACTAATCCACGATAACGCGCAGCTAAATGAGATTCAAAAATTCCATTTTCTTAAAGAATCGTTGCCTGAGAGTCGCGATAACGATATTCGCCAAATGCAATTAACTGCGGCCAACTACAATGTCGCATGGACTACATTGGTAACACGCTACAATAACCCTCGCACGGTATTTTCGCACCACATGAATGCACTTTATAATATTTCTACTATGCATAAGGAAAAGGGCGATGAGATACGACTGATGCTCAGTACAGTCAATGTTTGTATCGCTGCCTTCAAACGCGTCAATGTTCCAGTTCAACAGTGTGATCACTGGCTCGCACACTACTTGGCTTCAAAACTACCTAAAGAAACCTACAACGCCTGGGAGCACCACCGAGGCTGCAAAACAGAAGTGCCCTCGTTTGCCGACTTCGAACAATTTTTGAATGATCGACTAGTGACCATCGACGCTATAGAGAACCGTAACATATTCAGCAACAAGGTTACATCGATTCACCCAGGTACATCCAAACGACTCAACGTTCACAATGTACATGCACAGACAGGTCCCCCTAGCGCGCGCTGCTGTCACTGTGGTGGTAGTCATATTCTTCGACAGTGCCCAGCATTTTTGGCAATGGACTGCCACCAACGCAAGGAAGTTGTAACCATAGCCAGACTTTGTCTCAATTGCCTGAGCAAAGCTCATATATTAATGCGGTGTACTAGTACAAAAGGATGCCAACAATGTGGACAACGACACCACACATTGCTGCATTATCCGTCCCAACCACAGACCCGTCCAATACAAAATGCTACACTACAAAACACCTCATCACTGGCAATCGAACCAGCACTCAATCTGAACAGCAATTGCGTAAGACAACAAACTAAACATGATAATTCTAATCTACAATGTCTTTCAGCAACCTATTCAAATGCATCACAACGAAGCATTTTGCTAGCAACGGCACGAGTGATTATCTTCAATCCTGATAACGGTCTGCAAGCTACCCTCAACGCTCTCATAGACCAGGGTTCCGAAGCTACGATAGTCTCCGAACATGTTGTACAATCTCTACATCTAAAACGTCACTCTACACGCACCTCCATTGCTGGTGTCGGCCAAGGTAATACAAATCGGTGCAAGCATATTGTCAACTTCGTTCTGCTTACCAGTTCCAATCCAGAATTTCGTATAGATGTCGAAACAGCATATGTTTTAAATTCTTTGACATCTTTTTTGCCAAGTCACAACATTTCTGTCACACGGTGGAAACATATCGAAGGGCTGTCGTTGGCAGACCCCCAGTACTACCGGCCAAAGCGGGTAGATTTGATAATAGGCGTTGACCTAATGGCACAAATCATATTGCCAGGCATAAAGGTGGGAGCGCCAAACGAACCAATTGCTCAAAACACTCAACTAGGCTGGATCTTGTCCGGCAGGACACAGCCCCCACGTGAAGCAACTCATGTCGTATGCCATCAAGCAGTTTTGGACACTGAATCACTGTTAAAGCAATTCTGCGAGGCTGAATCTGTTCCGGAACGCCGACTAAACACAGCTGAGGACGTTTGGTGTGAAACATTTTTTCAGCAAACGCACAAAAGACAACCAACGGGCAGATACATGGTTCGACTGCCATTAAAAACAATTTTCGACCCCTCGATGACCTTAGGTAAATCGCACCAAATAGCACTAAACCACTATCTCCAACTAGAACGCCGTTTAACCAAAACTCCCGAGGCTTGGCAACGTTACAGTGATGGTATAAAATAATATTTCTCACTTAACCAACTCGCACCTGCAACAACTAGCGAGAGGCAATCTACTACGGTAAGTGACTCGCAACATCACTGTTCTTCTTGTGTATTGCCACATCACGCAGTCTACAAAGAAGAGAGTCTCTCAACCAAACTGCGTATAGTTTTTGATGCCTCGGCGAATACCAGCAATGGAAGATCCCTTAATGATATATTATGTGTTGGTCCCACCTTACAAAACGACATGTCAGCGGTTATATTAAATTGGCGCCAATATCGGTATGCTTTCACAGCGGACATACAAAGGATGTACCGATGTATTGACGTTCATCCAGAAGACTCGGAATACCAGCGGATTTTATGGCGGGCGGCGGATGGGCTCATCAGTGAATATCGGCTCACCACGGTTACTTTTGGTACAGCTTCAGCACCATACACCGCCATCAGAATTATGCACCAAATTGCCGAAGATGAACGTCTCAGGTATCCTGCTGCAGAAAACGTCCTTAAGCATGAAATGTATGTTGACGACATACTTTCTGGAGATCACACCTTTGAAAGAGCTGAGCAAAAACGACTGCATGTCACCGAAGCTCTAAAATCCGCTTGTATGGAACTGCGAAAATGGTCTAGTAACCACGCACTGTTGCTAACAACAATTCCTCTGGAGCATCAATGTAAACTAACACCTTTGAATTGGGGCACCGGCGACGCAGTCAAAACGCTTGGGATGTATTGGCTTCCTAACCAGGACTTCCTCAAGTATAAAATTCCCTCTTTCGTTCACACAGGTTCAACCAAACGAATTATTTTATCCAACATTGCGCGGTTGTTCGATCCGCTGGGATTAATCGCACCCATAATAATATCCGCAAAGATCATTCTGAAGCAGGTAACTATGGCAAAACACCTTAACGAAAATGGTTCATTGGCACCTTTAGATTGGGATGACCCAGTTCCTGAGTCAACAGCACAACGATGGCAAGAATTTTGTAACACCATGTTCGATATCGATGACATCGTCATCCCACGTTGGCTCCGATTTAATCCAAGAACCAACAGCGTACAGTTACATGCCTTTTGCGACGGCTCATCAGAAGCATACGCAGTAGCAGTGTACATTCGAGTTGAGCAACCAGATGGCATGTCACACACCGCGCTTATCACCGCCAAATCCAAAATATCGCCCACGAAACCATTGACAATACCTCGCACTGAATTATGTGGTGCAGTACTGGCCATCAAGCTTATGAAATGGGTAGTGGCGAATCAACGCTGGACCGCTGAAACAATATCCAGTTTCTACTGGACTGATGCAACGATCGTCTTACACTGGATAAGCGGCGATGTGAATAGATGGAAAACCTTCGTGTCCAATAGGGTAGCATACATTTTGGAACACTCCACTCCAAGCCAATGGAGTCACGTGAGTACTCGGGAAAACCCTGCAGATTGCGCCACACGAGGGCTGTTGCCTGCAGAACTTGCGAAATTTAAGTTGTGGTGGCATGGCCCAAATTGGCTAGCTCATTCTCTGACCGAATGGCCTTCAAGAAAGATTGGAGATTGCGATATCGACGCAGTTATGACAGAAGCAAAGCCCTGCAAGATTACAGTTAACTTAACCTCAGCATATGATTCACTGATCAATCGATTTTCCTCCTACACTAAACTACTCCGTGTAACCGCTTATTTGCTACGCTTTTGCAACAACGCACGTGGCAAATCGCAAAGGTTAACTGGTTTCCTATCAACAGAAGAAATACAAAGGGGCATGCACTGCATCGTTCGCATTGTTCAACTTGAAACTTTCGCTGCTGAAATAAAAGAAATTCGCGCATCAAAGTCCGTGCCACATAAAAGCAAGTTGTCTAACTTATCACCAATCATGCAAGATGACATCTTGCGCATCCGCGGGCGTCTTCGCCATTCAAAACTACCGTTCAATCGACGGTGTCCTATCATTCTACCGAATGGCCATTTCATCACAGAGCTAGTAATCAAACACTCCCACCACACAACCCTGCATGGTGGAGCGCAGCTTACCTTAGCTCATACCCGATATCAATTTTGGATAATAAACGGAAGGCAAGCAGTACGTCGCATCATACAAAAATGCGTTCGCTGTTTCCGCACCCAACCGACAACAAGCGCTCAAATCATGGGAGATTTACCTCTGCATCGAGTCAACCCACCGGGTCGCCCGTTTGAAGCAACTGGCGTTGACTACACAGGCGCAATTGAACTAAAGGCCGCGCGGTTGCGTGGCACAAGTTTCTACAAGGGATACATTGCAATATTCATCTGTGTTGCAACCAAAGCTATCCACTTGGAAGCAGTCACGGGACTCACAGCAGAACATTTCATGTGGGCGTTGGATCGATTTACAGGACGTCGTGGTCTGTGTCGTCACTTATATAGCGATAATGGTACGAATTTTGTAGGTGCAGACAATGCGCTTAAGGTTGCATACTCGCGATTGATGTCCGACGTCGAAACCGTGATCGCCCCTAAGCTTGCCACTCAAAGCATACAGTGGCACTTCAATCCGCCCCACTCGCCGAACTTTGGAGGCCTGTGGGAGGCAAACGTTAAATCGGTTAAGCACCATCTTAAACGAGTAGCCGTGAACACACGCTTAACCTACGAAGAACTCTCCACTGTGCTTGTTAGGAACGAATCGTGTTTAAACTCACGACCACTTTGCCCACTCACGGCGGATCCAGATGACTTGGATAGTTTAACTCCAGCACATTTCTTAATTGGGGACTCTATGCTTGCACCTACAGAATGTCGACCTCAAGCTACATCTTTTCGAGAACAGTTTTTGACGCAGCAGAAAATGGTACATCAGTTTTGGAAGCAATGGTCTCATGACTGGTTAGCTAATCTTCAAAAACGACCAAAATGGTGTAAGGAGGCCGACAATTTAAAGGTTGACGATTTAGTCATTGTTAAAGACGATAGGGTTCCGCCGACGCATTGGATCCTTGGACGTGTCGTAGAACTACATCCTGGCGCTGACGCCTTAGTTCGCGTAGTTACACTTAAAACCAAGCAGGGCAAATTGAAGCGTTCGATATCAAAATTATGTCGACTTCCAATTTCAGCATAACTGCATTTGCAATTTCTCGCCCTCTGTTTCTTTGAAGTCCAGAAAAATCAATACACCACGACGATGATCAACGGCACTACAGAACTATGTGATGCTTCATGCTGTACCCAGCATTGGCGGGCGGCATGTTCCGTTTTCCACCGACACAAAGCGCAACACTGTCGCAGTCACTATCGCTCTCGATGCACATCTCCGTCAGCTGGCGGTCGGGTCCATGGCGTGAAACTTTAGAAAACACCAGTCAGTCGCGCTTACCTAACTGAGTGAAACGGATCTGTATTTAATGTATCAAATCATTTTTTTTTACGTATAACATAAATATAGTCATTAAATAGTTTAAACATTGTGTTTCAATTTCGGTTCAACATTTACGAACCTCAAGTACTATGAAAGCCTTCGTGCTGATAAATGGCCTAGCATCATTGCATTGCAAATTTGTATTGCAAATTATTTGCAATACACAAACAAAATACACGCATTTGTCATGGCTTGACAAATTTACAATACCGAAAATCCATAGCATAAAAATGCTATGCATTGCAACTCTGGTTGACATTTCTATCAGCTGATTAAAAAAGTTTTACCATGACATTAAGGTCGCTCACAATCCATGGCATATTTCTACAATTGCATAAATTTGTCAGCTATTATGCACCGAATCGCGAATAGCCCTAATGATTCGCCATAGAATTCTACTTAGCCTTAAGGTCTGATTATGCATACTTCGCATAACTTCGCACAACCATTTGTACCAGTGCAATAAAGATGCAACTTAAGAAAATGTGAAGCAAAATCTAAACTCAATAGATTGCTAAGTTGTTAAATGTTCTGCTAATTTCTGGGTAATGGAGTACAAACAAAATACGTGCAAAGTACATACGAAATTACAGTTTGAAGTTTATGCGAAGCTGTGCGAAGTGTGCATAATCAGACCAATAGCTTACTCCAGCGAATGGCAAAATTGTGCAAAGTCAGCTTAAAATTTCAAATACCAACTTATTTTGCTGCGCTGCTTTCACTTCAGTTTCGCCGCGGCTCAGTGGCTACGTAAATATGCATATACGAGTATTTGCAGAAAAACGAGGAAAAATACGAAAAGCTTTCCTTCATTTGCTTTTTAGCATGATTTTTACTTCCTATTTTCGTATTTTCCAATATTCTAACCATTCTTATTGCTGTTGCAAATTAATAACTACAAAAATATTTTCAGTCTCTCCTTTGCGCCACATTTAATTGGAAGTATTTGTGCGCTTCTTCAGCTTGTCATTGCCGCTTTATTACTTCATTGCAAATGGCGACATCATAGAGTTAAACGTGAGGTACCCCAAACTAAAAGTGTAAAGTTATGATTCCAACTATTTGAATTCCTTGATTTCACACAATTCCCAATAAAAGGTGTAATATCGCTGAACAGGTTTTACACGATGACAGCTGCCAACTATGTGCCTCTGAAATGAAAGAAGTTAATTAAAGCCATAGATAGCACATTCTGTTTATTGTTGGCAGTTCTCTCCTTTTAGCAATTGCAGAAGCTAAAACAATTTATTTTAATTTGTAAAAGCATACAGCAGTTAAAAATTTTTGGCGGTGCCAAAATTAAAATGCCAATACATAGCGCGAAGGCTACAAATATAATACACAGATAAGGTCAAAATTGTATTAATTAAATACTAAGTACAACACTAAGGCCAAACACTTATCAAACATGTAAAAGGCCAAAAAATTATTACTATTAAATACTGCGTACGAGTTAAACAGGGATCACACGATTCTCACATATTTGTAGGTACATTTTGACGGTTACAGAGTGGGGTTGTTTGGAAATTTGTTTAATGGCTGAAGTCATTCTCGGTAAAAATATGTAGATAACACCACACTGTGACTGTCAAAATGTAAAAAGCTGTACAAATGTACAAATCGTGTGATCCCTGCTTTACTTGTATTCTTACCTTGTATTCGTGGCTTCATTATATATTGGATACAAAATAAATCCCTAGTTCCGAAAATACCGAAATCCGGGAATATGTATCTCGAATGGCCCAGAAAAGTGGCACGATAAGTATCCCAAAAACACTGATAAAATAAAAAAACGCCTCAAAGTTCCTATTAAAACAGGTACGAAAAGTGAAATACGAAGAGTTCCGAAAAAATTATCAAAAATGTCAAAGAAAATCTTGTAAAGTTTTCAAGAATTCCGATAATCACGGAGCATTTAATTTTATTTTCAATCACCAAGGCTGCGTATCTCCAGATTCATTTGAGTGAAAATTATTTTAATTTTCGAATTTATGGTTTTACCAATAAATTTTAATTTGTTATACCCGAGCGCACTTGTGCACAAGGGTATATTAACTTTGTTCACATAACGGTTGATTGTAACAGCCAAAACGAATCGAGATAGATATAGACAAAGGTATACATAAATGCTCCGTCCGTCTGTCCGTCCCTCCGTGAACACGATAACTCGAACAAAAAATGGAATATCTCAACGAAATTTGATATGTAGGTTTCCATTTATATAACGTAGGTTGGTATTGAAAATGGGTGAAATCGGACTATAACCACGCCCACTTCCAATATAACGGTGATTTTCAGAAATACGAAAACTGCGATATTTTAGTAACTACTGAAGATTATACTCTCAAAATTGATATTTACAATAAATTTTAGATGAAAAATAAGAATATATATAAATTTTTGGAAAATGGGCGTAGACACGCCCACTTATGGTCACATGTGTATACCTTGGTAACCGCTGCACTAATTTCTTCCAAACTTGGCACAGTTGTTGGCCTTGATACAGCATACTAAATGGCCGAAAAATTTAAAAAATCGGACAATAACCACGCCCACTTCCCATATAACGATAATTTCAAGAAATACGAAAACTGCGATATTTTAGTAACTACTGAAGATAATTCACTCAAAATTGATATGTACAAAAATTTTCAGACGAAAAATAAGAATATTATAAATTTTTGGAAAATGGACGTAGCCACGCTCACTTATGGTTACATGTGTATAACTTGGTAAGTGCTGCACCAATTTCTTCCAAACTTGGCACAGTTGTTAGCCTTAGTACAACATACCAAATCGCTGAAAATTTAAAAAACCGGACAATAACCACGCCCACATCCCATATAACGGTAATTTAGAGAAATACGAAATCTTCGATAAATCAGTCAATATTAAAGATAATATATTTTAATTGATGGTTGCAACAATTCTTTACCAAGATATACGTTTATGATACAATTTTGGAAAATGGACGTGGGACCGCCCACTTATGATCACATATATGTATCTCGGTAGCCGTTCTATCAATTTGTACCAAACTCGGTACGGTTATTCTGCTTGCCACATAAAAGCGAAAGGTTGAAAATTATTGAAATCAAACTAATATTACGGCCGCTTTTCATATAACGGTAAATTTCAGAAAGGCTTTAAACTTCAATATTTCGAAATTTAAGGACGCTAATTTACTCAAAATTGATACACCCGGCTTACCATGTAGCGGTAGCTTTCGGAAAGGTGAAAGACATATATTTCGTACTTGCGCCGGGTACCGAACTTAGACTTTCTTACTGGTTTTTAATTTGGATTTAAGTGACCTTGCCCTTCACTTAAATAAAAACTAAATCAGAATAACCACAATCGGAGATGGTACATGTTTAATCAGCTGATCAATATAAACACACCACGATATTGTGTATCAGCAGTTTACTTGTATACCAGCCCTGCTTTTGCTGCAACTTTTAGCACGGTGCTGCCATATTTTTACTCACTTAACTAAATAGCTTATTGAAGCCGAAAAATATTTAGTTGAAAATTAAATAAAAAATTAAATTTTACATAAATGAGTTTGGTGAAACGCAGCCTAAAATAAAAAGTAAACATTTCCGCTTATTTTTACCTGAACTAGGGATGGAAAAGGCGCGCGCAGAATCGAATCTTGACTTCATAACCGACTTTCGATTCTTGAAGTCGAGTAATACCCTCTGATCATTGGCTTTATGACTTAAATTGACGTTTTGAAAATTTACAAAGGGAATTACAAAAGGAAAGGAAGGAAAATTATTTTTAAGCAGTTTGCACATTCACAGGCCAAGCGCTTTAATTTGACACCCCTTTTGAAAATCGAGCGAACGGTGCAGATCTTTTGTGCTGGACAAAAAATCCATTCGCGTATTATATATATAGATAATACAAAATTTATATTTTATCAATTAATTGCAGACGATTTGGAACTGAAATTAAAAATTAAACATTAAAATTAAATAATAAAGAAATCGTACATATTCATCGACTTATTAATCAATTTTTGAGCAGTGAACCCATACTAAACTGGAAGCCATTATAAAATTGTGTGTAGTATTGAACGTTCATTGCTGAATGCCGTTTATTTAAATACTGCATTGCCATATTTTAAACTAGCAAAACACCCGACGACGATCGGGGTAAACAAATCAAAATATAAAACAGCAATACAAATATTCAGTCCAGCATAAATTAAAAGAGACAAACTACTTTCCTTCTGTTTTAATTAGGCATCCTTATGAGCCATACTTTTAGCTATATATTGGTAATCATTTTCTGTACTACAAATCTTGTTCCATTATTAATGTTAGGTGGATTAAGGTAACGATAGAATTTTTAAATTAAAATTAGTCTACTACGGCACATTCAGTTTAGCTGCCTATTCGCTTAGCTGTTTTAGTATAGCGGCACTTTTCCGGTAGAATGCTTGTTTCGGAATCAGTTTTAATTATGAATGACCATTTTTGTTTAGCAGCATCGGGTATTATAATTTTGTTCACATAACGGTTGTTTGTATTGTCGCGTACTGGCCGCAACAAAATAAACATTTGTTTCCCCTTTGTTCTATTTACCTATTTCCTTTCACTCCAGCCGATAGGAGTGAAGTCTGCCGACACTCAAGTGTACATATGTATGTACATACCTAAATAAATAGCAGAATGAGCTCAAGTTGAGCGAAATAG